GCCAGGAGAAGCACTTTAAGGACGACGAGGAGGAGGACGATGAGGCCACCAGCCCCGACGGCCCGGGCCGCCTGAATGTAGCTGGAGCCGGCGGAGACGACGCTGCGGGGGGCCCCGGGGCGGCCGCCGCCCAGGCCCCCTTCACAGCCAGGCTCGCCTGAAACCAAAAAGAACAGAAACTCCGAGACCGAGAGGAGCCACCCCACCCCAGACACAAAGAAACCTATCTACGTACAGATATCTATCTATCTATCTATCTATCTATATATATATATACAGATATATATATATGACGTCACAGAACTAGGATACTGCTTCTCAGATTTGTCGCCTTCATGAAGCCCCCTCCACAGGGCCCCTCCTGCCCCCATGTCCCCCGCCCTGTCCGCTGGGGGGGTCTGGGCTTGGCATGGGGTCTTGTGGGGCGCCCACTATGGGCAGGGGGCCTGATCCGAGCCTGGTTCTCCAGCCCTGGGCTCCAGGCTGGATTGGGGTGACTGGGGGGGGGCGGGGCCAGGGCCAGCTCTCGTGCCCCTCCCCTCTGGGTTTCTGTGAGTCTTCAGACAAGACCTTAAATGATCTCTGTCTGCTCTGAGCGGACGCTAAATGGTCCCTGGCCCCCCACCCTCCTTCCTCAGGGCACTTACTAAAGGGGGGGGTCTTCCCCTCAGTCCTCCCCACTGGCCTCCCGCCTCCCGCCCCGCCTGTGACCTCGCACCTCTGCACCCCTCGGCCGCCGAGACACAAACCTATTTATTCCCAGGCCTGGGGACGGGGGCAGGCTTGGGGGCTGCAGGGGGTTCCAGGGTGGCCCGGGCTCCCGCCACCTTCCTCCATGGCACTTAAACCTGGCGGGAGCCTGGGACCACCACTCAGGGCTCCCCTACCCCCAGCCACCCGAGACCCCACATTTGGAGATTGCAAATGTCTGTCTTGACCCCGTCCCCCCAAGCCCCTCCCCACTTTTTCAAGCACTTTTTAGATTTTTTTTTCCTCCTGAAAAACAAAATTTATATATAGATATAATATATATATATATACACATGCACACGTATATATGGATGTCTGTCTGTCCACGTGTGTGTATATGTGTGTGTGTATATATATATATATATGATATACTTAGAAGTGGCGGCAGGATGGGGTGAAGACAGCCAAGATCGGGGGGACCAGGGTCTCAGAGGGCGGGGGGGGGCAGCGAGGGGCGAGGGAGCTAGAGGGTCCGAAGTTCAATGTCACAAAAGCAATAAAAACCAAGATTTTACAAAATGGAAAGGAAGAATGAGAAAACCAACCACAGGCAAGCAACCACATTAGAAGTCTTGGCACTTTGTAACAGAACGGGTACTTTATCTTAATTCTTAATTTAAAAACATGTTTACAAGTTGTATCCAACTTCTATGAAAAATTGAAAAGACAAAAAAAAAGCGAGAGAAAGAGAGAGAGAGAAAGCAGAAGAGAATTCCTAAAAGTCAATTTATTTTTGTACAAAACAATAAAAAAAAAAAACCCCACCGCAAACATAGAATCCAGTTTTGTTCCCCAAGGCTGACGGGGGCGGCCAGGCGGCCAGGTAGCCATTGAGGGGCCTGCGGACCGTCCTGGGTGGGGAGGGCCTGCACTGAGGGCAGCCATGGGGTCCCCCAGTCTGTGCCAGCCTCCCCCCCCCGCCCCCGATTCTCCTGCATTTGGTCTTGGCTCGGGGTGGCCGCCCCTGGGGCTCCCTCCTTCCTTGCCCCCCCAGCTCAGGGATGGGCCCGAGAAGGCTGGCCTTCCAACCAGCCGGACCACCCAGCCTCCCTCCCCCTCCCCCTCCCCCCCACCTGCCCTCCAACATGGCTGTCCTCCTGGGTCACCATCTTGGACGTGCTCCCCCCATTTTTAATCAAAGGCACTGACTGTAACTGGCTCGCACCTGTCTTCCCCCCAATCTCTGGCTCCCCAAAGGCCCGGTGTTGACCGAGCCGCAGGCCACGGACAGGGACCAGAGGCCAGAGGCGGAGGACAGCGCTGCCGGCTCCAGGAAGCCCCTCCTGGCTGCATCGCAGAGCCTCGCGCGGGACCTTCCTGTTGGTGCCTGGCCAGGGGGGGGGTCCCTGCGTTCCCCCACTTTTGTCCTTTTGTTTTTAAAGGGAAGCTTTTGAAGAAGGTGATAATTTTTTTTCTCTCAGTTTCTACTGGATAGTTTTTGTCCCCTCCCCAGCCTTTCAGCACCCCGAAATGTCTCAGGTTTCCCCCTGCGGGCCAGCAGAAGGGGCAGGCCCCAGCCCCCCCCCCAAGTGTCACTGTCACCAGGCGAGCTGTTTTGGAGAACAAGCTATCAAGGCTGAGCTGGGAATTCGAGCACCCCAGGCCAGGGGCCACCCCCTACTCCCCAAGAGGCCCCCCCCGGGGGGGACAAGTTCTTCCCCCCCCCCCGCAATAAAACCAACTCTCAAATCACATGTCCTGCTAGGGGTGGGGGCCTCTAGACATAGGGGGCTGGCTCTGTGGGGACCCTGGTAGGAGTAGGGGTCCACAGCCTGCCAGTGGCAGTTTTGAACACAGACCTCCTCTGGAATTGCACTAGACCCTTGCCCCCCAGCTCCGCGCTCAGCTTCCGCCAGCCCTGCCCCCCAACTCTGCCTTAACCGCTAGCCCGTCCTGGGGGCCGCAGCGTCTGCATGGGCCCAGAGCCGGGACCCCCGCCCCCCGCCCCGTCCCCCAGCCCAACCCGGCCCTGCCCCAACTCTGCGCAATCACATACTGTATATAGACGTGGATCGATTTTATTTTTATTCTTTAAATTAAGGTCGTGATAAAGGTGTTGCCAAAGATACTGCTGAATTTACGTGTTTCAGGAACCATTTGAGGAGGCTGTTTGTCTTGGAGGATGTTACAGAGAGGTTTTTGTTTGGTTGTTTGGGGTTTTTTTTGTGTTTTTTTTTTTGGTGTTTTTTTTTTTAACTGCCTGGTACAAACAAAAAAAAAAAAAGGAAAAAAAAAGACAAAACCAAGTGAAATTGTTCTTTTCATCATCACCTGGTGAAGAGTGGGTGCTGTGTGCGGGTGTGTGCAGGAGAGTGAGGGCCAGGCCTGGGGGGGGCGTAGTTCCAGGCAGGGGTACCGCCTGCCACTGTCCCCAAATCTGCAGGGCCCTAGAGAGAGGAATGGCCCTGTGTAGTAGCTGCTCCTTGCCTTGCCCCCCTCCACCTTTTGAGATTAAAAAAGAAAAAAAAAACAAGAAATAAAAAAAAATAATAAAACCAACTACATGGAAACTAGTGAATGTAAAGCAGAGCCTGGACTCAGCGGGTCATACCAAAGTCCACCCAGCCAGAGACACCCCTGCACCGCAGCCAGAGACTTACCACCCTAATGTATACAGCTAACCGTGGCTTCCTCCTGAGGGGGTCCTCTGGGCCATGTCAGGCACAGTCAAGGTAGCATGTGGTAAACTGAGGCAGGGATCAGCTGCATTCCCCAGGATGGAGACAGTCCAGGTAGCCAGAATTGTAGATGACACAGGGACACAGGCTAAGAGGAATACCAGAAAGGGGGCCCGGGGGGGGGGTAAAGGAAAAAAGAAAAGCCAACAAAAAAAAAAAAGCAAAAATCCTATTTTTTGAGAGAGAAAGATATTTATATTTGCAGTTTTATTTTAAAGAGTTATTTAAGCTGAGGAAGCAGCCTTTCCAGACGGGGCCTGGCTGGCGCAGGACAGGTCAGGGCCTTGTGTGGGCTCAGTGCTAAGGGGTCGCAAATCTCAGAGGTCAGACGAGCTAGATTGACATGGGGTGGGGGTGGGAGGCTAGGAAATGGAGAGGCCAGGGGACCCCAGCCTGTGGCTAGGGCTGCCTAGAGCTATGGATGGGTGGTCTCCTGCCACTCCAGGTCTGGATATGAGGTGCCTTGGATTTGGGGGGCCAGGCCTGGCAAGTCGGGGGGTGGGCAAGGGGTGGTGCCCAGGGGTTACAGAGCACAGACAAGACATTCCATGGACTGTATTCGAGAGTCTTTATAAAGTGGGGAGATTTAACAAAAAAAAATCAATGGATAAAAATGCACTTTTTGGGGGTGGGGGGAGAAGCTTTAAAAGTAATAAAAAAACAAAAAACATAAAAGATGATTAAAAAAACAAAAAAATTTCATTTTTCTTGTACATAAAAAAGAAAAAAACCACTAAATGCAGCCTGTTACGACCGCGGCCGCCTCCTTGCCTGATTTCTATGTCGTGTGTCTTGCTGGGGGGGTGCCGGTGGGGGGGGTGGGAGGTGGGATTCCCCCCACTCAGACCCTCCTGTCCATCTTGGGCAGGGTCCCGGATGTGTGGCTGGGTGTCAGGATGCGCCCCGGGAAGGAAGGTGACCACAGCTCTGGGTGGCCAGGCAGGGGGTAGTGGCCCATGGGTGCTGGAAAGGGGCCGAGGGCAGCAAGGACACTGGCCGGGCCTGGGTGCTCATCCCAAGTCAGCCCCAAGGTCTACAAGATCATGGGTGTGGCCTGAGGCCATCGAGGTCCCATCCCCAGCTGTCCCCACAGACAGCATCCTTCCTGAGGCTGTGGGGCCTTCTCTCTGACAGAGTGGCAGTAAGTCGTTGCAGGCCCTGAGCGAGGAGTCTCCCTCCCCGGGCTCCCACTGTTGCAGCCAGCCATGGTTCAGCCAGCAGGGCTGGCTGGGGCGGGGGGCAGCACCTGATCTACTCGGAACTCCTTCCTGGAATTGGGCACAGGGGACTGGCAAGGCCTGGCCTCGCTCCTGTCTGGCAACATGCTCAGAGGCACAGAGCTGTGTGAGATCACCCGGGGAGCTGGCTGCCAGCTAGTGGGTGTACATGGGCTGGGGTCCCTGGGCTACTCAGGCAGCCCTGAGCCGCCATGACACCCCGGGGCCTGCTGAAGCCCAGGCTGTAGCCACACATTAGGACGAGATGGGCAGGAGACCCCACTTGACGTTTCATCAAGGTACAATCTCCACACCAAACAGCTCACCTTTTTTTTGGGGGGGGGTCTGTCGTGGGGCTTGAACTCTGGGCCTGGGCGCTGTCCCTCAGCTCTTCAGCTCAAGGCGAGCGCTCTACCACTTGAGCTACAGCGCCACTTCCAGTTTTCTGGTGGTTCATTGGATATAAGAGTCTCGGAGTTTCCTGCCCAGGCTGGCTTTGAACCGTGATCCTCAGATCTCAGCTTCCTGAGTAGCTAGGATTACAGGCGTGAGCCACCAGTGCCTGGTTCCTGGTTTTTAATACACTGTCCAGTTCCGGAACATTCCATCCTACCAAGAAGTTGCATCTGCATGAGCAGTTACCTTGTCCCTCCACAGTCCCTGCCCCCCTGGAAGACATCTCTGAACCCACCTGTTGTTCACATTTCCTACCAATGGGGATCTTGTGTGTGTGTCCTGGGGCTTGAATTCAGGGCCTGGGCAATGAGCTATTCTTGCTCAAGGCTGGTACTCTAGCACTTGAACCACAGCTCAACTTCCAACTTTTTTTTTGGGGGGGGGGCCTGGGCGCTGTCCCTCAGCTCTTCAGCTCAAGGCTAGCGCTCTACCACGAGCCACAGCACCACTTCAGTTTTCTAGTGGTTTATTGGAAACGAGTCACACAGACTTCTGCCTGGGCTGGCTTTGAATCACGATCCTCAGATCTCAGCCTCCTGAGTAGCCAGGATGACAGGTGTGAGCCACCGGTAGCTGGCTACTTCCAACTTTTGGAGGTTCACTGGAGATGTCTCACAGCCCGGGCTGGCTTTGAATCACGATCCTCAGATCTCAGCCTCCCAAGTCACTGGGATGGCAGGTGTGAGCCACCAGCGCCTGGCAGTGTGCGGCCCTTTTATGTGCCAGGGCCTTGCCCTGCTCCTGGCAGTGTGATGGTCCTGCCGACAGGTAGTGACCATCCCATGGCCGTCTGTCCCGGTTCATCACCTTTAGCACTTGGTGGGGGCAGCTTGAGGCCAGCACTGGCATTTCCCCCCGCCCAGTGACTTGGGCCATGTCCCCCAAGGACAGCCTTGGGCTGAGGATGGAGCATCCCCGCAGGGACAGGACAGTGGCCGGGACCCCAGCAGCACACAACACCTCAGGATTCCTCAGTGGCTTCACCGTGACCTTTTTATTTGCATTTTTAAAAAACAATTAAATTAGAATACAAATATTAGAAAACAGCGCCCGGGCTGCCAGTGGGGCGTGGCCGGCGGAGTTCCTCGCGAGGCTGCCGGCCGTCCTCTAGACCTGAAGGTATTGCTTCCTGACTCGGAGAGTTCTGTGTAGAATCGGTGGCTGCCCGGCGCCGGGCCTGGAGGTCTGGAGGCCCCCCCTTGCCCTCTGAGACCCCCCCCCAGCAGAGGGGGTTCCGGACTGGTGTGGTGCAGGCCAGGCCCTGTTGGAAGAGAGGCTCCCAGGGAGGGGCCGGGAAACCCAAGAGCAAGACGAAAAGGAGGAGCCAGCGGGAGCCCCGCGCCCACCCGCCGGGCGGCGGCATCTGTGCTGCTCCATAGGGAAGTTAACCTGAATTGGAGTTACCGAGGTAGCTGGCTAGAAAACTGAGACCCCCCCCACCCCACGCCACACGGTGCCGCGCCTCTGGGGCCCACCTCCCTGGGGAGGCCTGGCCCGGAGCCCAGCCTTCTGAATACCAAGTTATTGCACTTTCAAAAAAATACAACACATCTGTGGCGCACACCCTCCCCAACCCCCCCCCAAGCCCCCCGCCCCCCCCACCCCTCCATGGCTTCTTAGCTAGGATGCTCGCAGCACAGCAAGGCTGCCAGGGCTCCAGCCTGTGCATTTTGCGGAGAAAGCAAGGGAACAGACACAGCCAAGGGCGAGGGTCACCAGCCAGGTCTGGCCCGTGCCCACCCCATGGGTCCCCTGCACCAGCTGGAAGGGTCCCGGGCATTGCAGGCAATGGCGGGGCGGGGGGGGGGAGTTTGTGGGGCGTCCTGGGTCCCAGCTGCTCACCACTTGTGGACCCCGCTTGGGCTCGGGCCTGGGCTCCAGCTGGGGAGGTGGCTGTGTGGTGGCTTTTGCCTTATTCTTCAAAGTCGGGGTTTTTTTTTTTTTCTGTTTTTTGTTTTTGTACTTTTTTTTTTTTGTCATTTTACTTTTTTTAATCCCCCAGAGGAGTCCAGAGGTACAGGTGCCGGGAGCCAGGGGCGGAGCGGAGAAAACAAAGTGACCCACGAAAGGAAAGCAAAGGCCTCCTCCTCCCCGCGCACCCCGCGCCTGCGCGCCCGCCCTCGATGGTGAGCACCAGTGAGTGTCCAGCGGCCCGCGGTCAGCAGGCTGGCACCAGGCCCTTCTGGAAGAGGCATCGGCGCTTGGGCCGAGGACCCTCCTCGTCCTCGTCATCCTCCTCCTCCTCTTCCTCCTCGTCCTCTGAGGAAGATGAGCTGTCCAGCGTAAGGTCCACCACATCGGCTCCCGGCTTCCCATTCTCCACACCCGGGGCACCCGGCCCGCCGCCCGCACTGCCCAGCGGGCCGCTGCCACCGCCACTGTTCACGCTGGGGGGCGGCAGGAGACCGCTGGCATCGGAGGCGCCTGCGGGTGACAGGGATGGGGCACGGGCACTCGGGATGCTGCGCTCCGCAGAGCGGTGTCCAGGGGCCGGGGGGTGTGGGGGGGGGGGGGGGGGACTCACCAAGCACCAGGATGGGGCCCTGGGGGCTGCAGCTCCGCTCCTTCTCGGCACGGATTGGGCACCACGAGCCGTCCACCAGGTACTCGATCTCATCCGCATCCTCACACTCGCTCAGGATCTTGGACAAGAGCCTGGGGTGGGCAGGTGGGTGAGGGTGGGTGGCCAGGCACCCCTTGGCCCGCTCCCGGCTCCCGGCCAGAAGCCAGGGCTGAGGGCTATGGAGGCCAGGAGGGGGCGGGGTCTCCAGGCAGCTCCGCCTCCTCCTCCATCCCAATACCCCCCCCTTTTTTCCAATACTCTATTTTTAGAGAAGACAAACAGAGGCCTAAAAGGCGGGGCTCGATGCCATAGGCAGGGAAACCCCATATAGCGAGTGGGGGACAGGCCCAAAGCGGGGGTACTGGTTGGTCCACAGAGCCTTGGGGGAGTCACCAGGGGCTATGTGCCGTCCCGGCCAGTCGGAGAGACAGAGGTCTGGTAGGGGCGGATGGTGCCCAGACCCCCTTCCCTCCCCCCTGCGCCCCCCCCCCAGCCCAGCCCCGCCATGCCGCCTGGGGCCAAAGCTGCACCCACTTCCAGGTGGCCTGGACCATGCAGCTCAGGGCCGCTCTCAGGGGCCGTGGAGGCTGCCCCGGCCCCATGGTCTCCCACACCCGTTCACGTGTGTGTGGATGGCGCTCTGCGTGGCCCAGGGTCCTGCCTGTAAACTCTCACTGTCCTGACAAGATGGAGACGGGCCCTGGCGTCTGCACCTGCCCAGCCAGAGGCCCTGGAGCGGTCAGAGGCGCGGGGGGAGGGCACAGGCCACAGCTGCTGGCCTGAAAACAGAGCAGCCATTCAAGCCAGGTCCTCCGTGGTCCCAGGGGCCGGCTCCCTGCACCCAGGCGGGGATAGCGCCCTGGGCCTTCCGGGAGGACCTGGCCTCGGAGCCGGTGGACCTGAGTGCAAGTCACTGGCCTGGCCATCTGGGAGCTGGGGGAGCCTCCTTATCTGAAAAGGAGGGTGTCTGGCCAGTGACCAGGGGAAGGACGTGCGCTGAAAAAGGGGTCTGCTGGGGAAGACAGGGCAGAGGCCTCTCCCTCCATTACCGTCGGGCTCCATGCTGGTTGAGTGACTTGGGGACCAGAGGGGTGTAGCTGGAGGCGGCATGAGCATCAAGCCAGACAATGGGGCTCAGGTTCTAGAAACTCAAGACCTGAGCAGTCTCTCTCGAGGGGAGAAGGGTGCATGCCTAGTCGCCCTGTGGTGCAAGTCTACACTGTGGGTCAATGCCAGGCTGGTGCCACCTGGGAGTGGGTGTGGCCAGAACTTGGGGGAGGAGCCAGCAGAGGTCACCACATGGGGACAGTCGCTCCCAGAGCCCCTCAGCCGTGGAGAGCTTGGCTGGTGTGAGGAGGAACAAAGAAAAGTCACAGTGAGCCAGGCACCAGACGCTCACACCTGTCATCCTTCCTCAGGAGGCTGCGATCTGAAGATCACAGTTCAAAGCCAGCCTGGGCAGGAAAGGCATGAGACTCTTTATCTCCAATGAAACACTAGAAAACTGCAAGGGGCCCCACGGCTCAGAGAGGTAGAGCGCTCGCCTTGAGTGATAAATGCTCAGAGACCGTGTTCAAACCCCATGATTGACAGAAGGTCACCATGGCCGATGGCGGGACCCCTGTGCCGCCCTGCAGCCTCGCACGCGGCCAGGAGTCGGCCTTTTGCTGACCATGTCTCCCAAGGGTTTGGCTCCACTCTTTCAGGCACACCAGGGCCCCAGGGGGCATGCTCCTTGGGCCCCGAGGCTCACCCGTCGATGATGAGCTGGTCGTAGGGGGCAGGCTTGTCGCACACCGGGCACATCCATGTGGGCTTCTTCTCGTTCATCTGCAGGTAGAAGACGGCGTCGAAGCACTGCAGGTGGGCGCAGGTCTCTGCCCGGCAGGGCACCGACAGCCGCATCTTTACCAGCTGTGGGAGGGCGGGGTGAGTGGGCTGTGCCACCCCAGCCTCTCATGGGCCCGTATGACTGGGGAGACAGCGCTGGGCAGAGGAGAGGCTGTGCGGGACCCCCACCCTGCACCCACCCGGCACCGGACTCACCGGGCAGATGAGGGAGACCCGCACGCCCGTGGTGGCGATCTCGCTGTCGGGGTCCAGGCGCAGCTTCTCCTTCACTGTGGCGGGCAGAGGGGCAGAGGTGGTGTCAGGGGGGGCAGGGTGCTGCGCTGGGCCCCTAACACGCAGATGGGGAGACCCACGCCACAGCACCAGCGTCATTCGTCTCTGACCACAACTGGACGAAAGCACGCATGCCCGGATACTGGTGCTGGCGGCCCCGCAGGCTCCCACCCTCTACAGAGCTGCTATGGACTCCAAGACTTTTCTAGAACAATCTGGACAGCACAGACCCACAGACAGCACAGACAAGCACTGTGATCCTCACTCTGCCGCAGAAAGGCCACTCGGGGAGGGGACCGAGCCGCCCCTGCAGCCTCGCCTCCAGGACAAACGGACAGCTGGCTCTTGCCGCGGGAAGAGCCTCGTAATGGGGGGCGGCCTTGCCCCACTGGGGGCGATGCTCCCCAAGGTCAGCCCTGGGGGCATCTGGTGTGTGCCCAGCCCCCCAGACAAAGGGCAGATGGCCTCTCCCTCCTTGGCTGCCAGGATGCTGCACCCCGCCCTCCTCAAGAATCAGCACAGCTTCCTCTTGCTCCCCATCCCTGACCTGAGTGTCCCCCACCTGCCCATGACCTGTGTCCTCTCTCTCCCAGGGGGCCAGGTGAGGACCTGGCTGCTGCTGGTGCTGAGCATGGCCACGGCCGTCACACTCCAGTATGAACTTCTACCCAACACTCCCACTCTACCAGAGCCCCAGGCTGAGCGGGGCTAGGGGCACTGCTACCCACCCCCCCATGTCAAGACAGTGCACGAAGCAGGAGGGGCCTGAGGCATCAGCCAGGCTCCTAGCCCACGGCCAGGCCTGCCCAGCACACACCAGCCCCATCCCCGGGGCAGTGAGCAACGTGGCTGCTTCCCTCCCTGCTCCCCCCGCCCCCTCACCCCGGGCCAGGGACCAGGCAGTAGGAGGTTTCAGCAGCCTGGGGCTGGGAGGAGCCCACAGGCTGGGAGGCCCAAGTAGCAGCCACAAGTCAGGCCCAGGTCTGGGGACAAATGAGACCCTCCCCACTGCTGATCAGAGTGGCCCAACCCCTCAGGCCCCGAACACCGGGCAGCACCCTGCTCTGAGGGACATGGCCGGGCCTGATCTCACCGCGCGCCTCTGCTGGGTAGGCGGGCTGAGGCGGCGGCTGTGCTCCAGCCAGGTGGGGTCCAGGCAGCCCGCACTGTCCCTCAAGGAGCACAGATGGGTTTTTGTTGAGAAAGTGACCACCAATGACTTGCCCAGCCACACAGCTGCTTGGTGGCGCTCGATGAGGACCACAGCATCTGCTCTTGCCAGTCTAGGTACAGCTGTCTTTCTCAAACTCTTAAGTATTGGGTGTTGTGTGTGAATGTGTGCATGTGTGCGTGCGTGCGTGCACGCGCACACATGCGCACGCACACACATACACATGCTAGTCCTGGGGGGTTGAACTCAGGGTGTGGACGCTGTCCCTGAGCTTTTAGGGCTAGCACTCTACCACTTAAACCACAGCTCCTCTTGTGGCTTTTGGTAGTTAATTGAAAATAAGAGTCTCATGCACCGGGTGCTAGCGGCTCATGTCTGTAATCCTAGTTACTCAAGAGACTGAGATCTGAGGATCGTGACTCAAAGCCAGCCTAGGCAGGAAATGCTCTGTGAGGAGACTCTTATCTCTTCACCACCTAAAAACCAGGAGTAGCACTGAGGCTCAAGTGGTAGAGCACTAGCCTTGAGCAAAAAAGCTCAGGGACAGTGCCCAAGCCCTGAGTTCAAGCCCAGACTGATTAAAAACAAACAAAAAAGTTCCATAGACTTTCCTGCCCAGGTTGCCCGCAAAGATGCTCAGATCTCAGCCTCCTGAGTAGCTAGGATTATGGGCGTGAGCCACAAGTGCTTGGCTCTAGCTGTTGTTTTTAAAAGCTTCTTGGGGAATCTGGTACCACTGGTTCAGGCCTGCAGAAGGTTCATTGGACTCTTCATAGGAGTATTAATCATCACCAAAAAGCTGGAAGTGGAGCTGTGGCTCAAGTGGTAGAGTGCTAGTCTTCAGAAAAAAAAAAAAAAGCTCAAGGATAGCACTCAGGCCTTGAGTTCAAGCTCCAAACTGGCATAAAACAAACAAACAAACAAACAAGAGGCAGAGATTAGAGGATCATGGTTTGAGGCTACCCCAGGCAGGTCAGCAAGATGCCATTTCAACCAACAAGCCGTTTGTGGGGCTACAAGCCTTTCATATTAGCTATGCGGGAGGTCATGGGTATGAGGATAGCAGTCTGAGGCTGAACTCGGGCAAAAACTTGTGAGACTCCAGCCCCCAAAGATAATTAAATCAGCCGGGTGCCAGGGGCTCACGCCTGTCATCCTAGCTACTCAGGAGGCTGAGATCTGAGGATCGCGGTTCAAAGCCAGCCAGGGCAGCAAAGTCCAGGAGACTCTTGTCTCCAATGAATCACCAGAAAACTAGAAATGGTGCTGTGGCTCAAGTGTTAGAGCGCTCGCCTTGAGCTGAAGAGCTCAGTCAGGGATAGCGCCCAGGCCCAGAGTTCAAGCCCCACGACCAACAAAAGCAAAACAAAACAAAAGTTAAATCCCAAAGGGCTGGTGGTGTGGCTCAGCTCTAGGTACCTGCTGAGCAAGGGAAGACACTGAGTTCAAACCAAGTTCAAACTCCAGTACTGCCAAAATGAAAAACAAAATAACCCTTTTGTTACAAGCACCGCTCACCTGAGTGTCTACCCCGGGGCAGCGGCCCTCCTGAGGCTCTGAGCTGCTCTCAGAACAAGACCCAACTGTCTGGCCCCTCTCCCCCCAGGGTGGCCCTTGCGCCACCACCTCGGTCACCACCCCACCCCAACACCTCCCTGGCCACGCCGGTGCTTCACAGCGGGGAGGGTGGGCAGGCCGGGGCGGCCCAGGGCCCCAGTCTCTGGCTCTGGCCACAGGCCAAGCGTGTGCTCACCCAGTGCCTTGCACAGCTCGGGGTGCTTCACCCCGATCGTCTTCAACCTCTGCAGCAGCTCCGACGACGTCAGCTGCCGGACCAGGTAGAGCGCCACGGAGTAGCTCTGCACGGGGCACAGGTGTGGGGCGGGTCAGGGTGCTGCGACGGGGGGGGGGGGGGGTGAGGGCGGGCGGGCAAGCGGCTCACCTTGCCGTAGTTTCCCCACGTGACAGTGATGCGGTTGGTGGCCGAGGACAGGTACATGAGGTGGGTGAGGTTGATGGGCCGGCAAGGCCGCTTGGGCTCCACGCCAGGCTTGTTGGAAGGGTAGTAGCCCTGGGGGGACGCGGCTGCTCAGGCCCCTGCAGCGGTCCCCCTCTCCCCACACCTCACCCCGCCGCCCCTGTGAGGGCGCTCACCGGGACGGAGCAGTAGCTGTGGTTGACCTTCACGGCGATGTTCGGGGGGTACTGGTCCTCCTGAGGGCAGCTGGTGTCTGAGTAGCAGATTCTGTAACACGGGGCGACCCAGGGGCTGCAGGGGCCACACTGGGTCCAGTGAGGGTGACAGGGGTTGCGGGTATCTGGGCTTCAGGGTGAGCCCCAAGAAGGCAGTGGAGAAGGGGGTGCGGATGGGGGGGGCGGTACAGGGCAGGGGGCGTACCTGAGGACCACCTGCACGGCTTTCACTCCAGGTTGAAGCTCTCTATGGATGCACAACAGGACCCAAGGGAGGAAGAGGGGGTCAGGGAGGCAGCGTCACGCCACGCCACGCCACACTGACCAGCCCTTTACCACCCCAAGCAGCCAGAGGCTGGCAGGTGGCATCAGCAACACCTGTCCCATGCTGCCCAAGTCCCGCCCTGAATCCCCTGGAGAAAAGAATAGCTCCTGGCCTCGCTGGGGGAGCGGGCATCGCTCAGGGCCTTGGGGGCCAAGGTGGGTCATGCAGGGACACCCAAGGACACGGTGTGTCTGCTCAATGGCCAGCGTGGTTCTGCTGCAGCTGGAGCAGGCGCGCGGCCGGCTCGCGGCCTCACCGGGGACCCAGGGCTGTGCCTGGGGACACCTAGCTGTCGTGATCAGGCGCTCTTGGCATGGAGAGGGCGCAGGGCCCAGAATACCACCCCAGAGAATTACCAGCAGTGTCCGCGGTGTTGGGGGTGGGGGGAGGAGGAAGCTTGTTAAAAGGGGGCGTCTGGGCTGGGAAGGTGGCTCAGTGGTAGAGTGCTTGCCTAGCATGCATGAAGCCCTGGGTTCCATTCCTCAGTACCACATAAGCAGAAAACACTGGAAGTGGCGCTGTGGCTCAAGTGCTAGCCTTGAGCAAAAGAAACTCAGGGACAGTACCCAGGCCCTGAGTTCAAGCCTCAGGACTGGCAAAGAAAAAGGTGGGGAGGGGGCTGGGAAGGTGGCTCAGTGGTAGAGCGCTTGCCTTGCATGCCTGAGGCCCTGGGTTCGATTCCTCAGCACCACATAAGCAAAAAGAAAAAACCCGGAGTGGCGCTGTGACTCAAGTGGTAGAGTGCTAGCCTTGAGCTGAAGAGCTGAGGGACAGCGCCCAGGCCCAGAGTTCAGGCCCCACGACCCAAAAAAAAAAAAAAAAAGAAAGAAAGAAAAAGGTGGAGAGGGGAAAAATCTACCTCTGGAGGGATAAAGGGTCAAAGTACATGTCACTCTAGGGTCAAAGGTCAAAGTACATGCCATCCCCAAGCAGGAGAGGTATGGGGCCTAGGTCAGCCGGGGGTGACCACTGAGGCGGAGGGCGGGGCCGCACACCTGGAGCTCCGGATGAGGTCCACCTGTCTGGGTGTCAGGGCGAAGATGCAGGGACTTTCCTGAAGCTTCTCGGCGTTCTGTGGGACTGAAGGCAGACAGGGTCAGGGTCATGGCCACGGCCAGCCCTCTTCAGACCAGGAACAGGAAACAGGAAGCTGCTGACAGCTGGGGACTAAGGCAAAGCCATCCAGGGCGGAGTGTGAGGGGGGACGCTGGGCAGGAAACAACAGTGCTACCTGGCTGTGGTCCTGATTTAGGGGCCCTCGTGGAGCTCAGGCCATGCAGGTAAGAGATGGTGGCGCCCCCTGGTGAGCCCTGCCTGCCCGCCCTTGCTGGCAATGTGCCCTTCAGCGGTAGCCATGGCGGCGCTGGGGCCCCCGGCGCGGGGCCTGCAGGGGCGAGGCACCGGGCCTCCCAGGGCCTCCCAGGGCACAGGAGCAGAAGGCACAGAACTGGCTGCCGGCAGGGACAGAGGGCCGTGGGGCCTTACTCACAGTCACACCACCACTGGAGCAGAGGGCCGGGAAAGTTCTGAGGGCAGTGGGGCTCTTCCCTCTCATAACTGACAGAGCCATGGGGGCTCAAAGAGAATGCTTTCAGTAAGCGAGGGATGCAGTACTCCTACATCAGGGGGACACCGGCAAAGCCATACCTGGGGACCGGTGGGGGCAAGTAATTGCTAATTAAAAAAAAAAAAAAGCAGAAGCTGGGCACTGGTGGCTCACGCCTGTCATCCTAGCTATGCAGGAGGCTGAGATCTGAGAATTGCAGTCCAAAGCCAGCCCAGGCAGGAATGTCCATGAGACTCTTACCTCCAATGAACCACCAGAAAACCGGAAATGGTGCTATGGCTCAAGTGGTAGAGCGCTAGCCTTGAGTTGAAGAGCTCAGAGACAGCCTGCAGGCCCAGAGTTCAAGACCCACAACCGACCAAAAAAATAAAAAGTGGGATAAGCCAGGCTCCAGGAGTTCATGCCCTAAAACACCTGAGATCCAGAGGACTGTGGTTCAAAGTCAACCTGGGCAGAAAAGCTGCCGCAAGACTCCATCTCTAAAATAAACAGTAGCCGGGCACTGGTGGCTCACGCCTGTAATCCTAGCTACTCAGGAGGCTGAGATCTGAGGATCTAGGTTCAAAGCCAGCCTGGGCAAGGAAGTCCGAGAAACTCTTATCTCTAATAAACCAAAAAACCAGAAGTGGCACTGTAGCTCAAATGGTAGAGTGCTAGCCTTGAGCTGAGGGACAGCGCTCAGACCCAGAGTTCAAGCCCCATGATCGACAATAGAATAAAATAAAATAAACAGTAGCGGGGCGCTGGTGGCTCACGCCTATATATCCTAGCTACTTAGGAATTTGAGATCTGCGGACTGCATTACAGTATCATCCAGGAGACTTTTTTTTGGCCAGTCCTAGGCCTTGAACTCAGGGCCTGGGCACTGTCCCTCTTTTGCTCAAGGCTAGCATTCTATCACTTGAGCCACAGCACCACTTCCGGCTTTTCCTGTTTACGTGGCGCTGAGGAATTGAACTCAGGGCTTCCTGCATGCTAGGCAAGCATTCTACCACTAAGCCGCCTTCCCAGCCCCTACGAGACTCTTATCTCCAATTAATCACAGAAAAAGCCAGAAGTGGATCTATGGCTCAAGTGGTAGAGTGCTAGCTTTAGCTAAAAAAGGAGCTCAGAGACAGTGCCTAGGACCAGAGTTCAAGCCCCAGGACTGGCGAAAAATAAAGTATAATCAGTAAAAACTCTGGCCGGAGGCATGGCCCAAGTAGTAGTGTCAGTGGAACAAGCAACCGTAGCAAGCAGGGGTCCTGAGGTCAAACCCCATTACTGGCATGACTGGTAAGTAGGCAGACAGGTCGATGGGCAGACACCCTGGAAGTTTGGATAAGGAGCTCTCTCCTGAGGTTTTTGTTTGTTTTCGGTCTCGAACATGTACCCTTCAGCTCCAGGCGAGCACTCTACCACTTGAGCCACAGCACCACGTCCTCCTGAGTACTTTTGTTGGGTGCTGAGTGTACACTGCACTACACAATAACACTCGGGAGGAGGGGACAGGGAGCAGTCCCAGCACGCTCATGTGTTCCCAAGCCTTCAGATGTCCCATCCCTTGCAGGGAAGGCTGCCCTGTTTCCAGAGACCCCAGTGTCCTCTCTGGGTGACTTGTATCTGTCATCTGTCAGCACCCTGTGTGCTAAGGTCTTATTTGGAGACAGGATTTTACTACTATGCATCCAGGCTGGCCTGCAACTTGAGATCTTCCTGCCTCAGCCTCTACAGTGCTGGGATTTACAGGTGTGGACCAAAATACCTTGCTAGACACAGTTTTTAAAAATCCAATGGAAGCCCTGGCTAGGGGAGTCCCTGAAGAGGGGATACGAGGCCTGGGCCCCTGGGCTTGGGACACTGGAGGGACATGCCTAGTTTCACCCTGCAAACTACTTAGAGCAGGGACAGCCAATGCTCCCATAAATTATGGCCCCAAAAGCCCTTCCAGGGGCATGCTCAGGCCAGTGGTGCCTTCTGTGACCTCTCCCAGTGAAGGGCTGGGGCAATCACAGGGCTGACTAGCAAGGATAAGGTCCTGAGTTCAAACTCCAGTTGCCACCAAGAGTAAAAGTCTTTTTTTTTTTTTTTAAAGGGCCCTGGCCAGGCGCTGGTGGCTCATGCAGGTAATCCTTGCTACTCAGGAGGCTGAGATCTGAGAATCACAGTTTGCGGCCAGCCAGAGCAGGAAAGTCCATGAATCTCTCATCTCCAATATACCACTAAGAAAAAGCTGGAAGCGGCACAGAGGCTCAAGTGGTAGAGCACTAGGCCTTGAACATAGAGAAACTCAGGGACAGAGCTGAGGCCGCGTTGAAGCCCTAGGACCAGCACTAAAAACAAAACAAAACAAAGGGAACCAGGTGCCAGTGGCTCACGCCTGTCATCCTAGCTACTCAGGAGGCTGAGATCTGAGGATCACGGTTCAAAGCCAGACCATGCAGGAAAGTCTGTGAGATTCTTATCTCCAGAAAACCAGAACTGGCACTGTGGCTCGTGGTAGAGCATTTGCCTTGAGCTGAAGAACTGAAGGACAGCGCCCAGGCCCAGAGTTCAAGCCCCACGACTGAAAAAACCAAACAAGCCAAAACAAAACAAAAAAACAAAGGGTTCTGTGGACAAGGCCAGGTGCCTATGACAACCGCCTATGACTGCCCCCTGACCCCAGCAGGCCAAGTGCCAGAACCTTCTGAATCCCAACCTGGAGACCAGGTGATGCAGAGGCCAGACCTAGGACTCTTAGAAGCCGGCGGCTGGGGTTCAGATCCAGCCCTGGAGGGCCTCCCCCCCCCCCACAGGCTGCTTTCTCTGGGTGCCCAGGAAGAGGCGGCTGCGGCCGGCTTGAGTTTGTTTGTTAAGCACTCGCTGGTCCCTGGGCGATAGCAGACTGTGGAGCCAGGGCTAGGGCCCAGAAGGAAGGCGTCTAATTGGGGAGCAGACGCGCCCAGATCTGCCCAGGTGTGTGGGGAGCAATTACTCCAGGGCAGGGTGCAGGGAAGGCCTCACAGGGCTGACATCTGAGCAGGCGTGGGGGGGGGGGAGAAGGACGCTGGACGCTGGACACTGGCTAGGAAAGTCAACACGCCATGCCCCCCTGGCCTGCAAGGTCTCGGTGTCCAGGGCTGGTCCCTAGCTCGGAAGGCCACGCCAGTTTCTCTTTGACCAAGAATCAGGAGTACTTCCTAAGGGCTCCTGTGTGTAGGTGAGGTTGGGCCGTGCCATTGTCCCCAAACCTGCTTCTACCAGGCTGGCCAGGGGCAAGCCAGCCACTCCCTCATCTCCCAGCTCCCTCCAATCACCCGCTCTCCCAGGCCTTCCTGGATTACATCCCCAGCACCCACAGCACTTCTACTCCTCATTGGAGGTGAGTTCAAACCCCAGGGCATCACAGACCCTCTCCCTCAGCCCATCTCTTGGCTCCGGGATGACGGGTCCAGCGGAACCCTGTCCACAGTGAGTGTGGGACGGGTCCCACCCCCCAGGCCTGGACTCCACAGGGGCTGCCACCACCTCCCCCTCGCCTGCCAGGGCCTTGGCACTCTTGCTGAGTCTTTTTCTTTTGGTTTCCCTGCAGTGTTTGAGACCAGTGTCTTTTTTTCCTTTCTTGTTTCTCTTTGTGCCAGTCCTAGGGCTTGAACTTAAGAGCTTAGGTACTGCCGCTGAGATTTTTTGCTCAAGAATGGCACTCTATCACTTGAGCCACAGCTCCACTTCTGGCGTTTTGCTGGTTAATTGGAGAGAAGAATTTCACAGGCTTTCACAGACTGAGCTGGCTTCAAATCATGATCCTCAGACCTCAGCTTCCTGAGTAGCTAGGATATCAGGCTTGAGCCACCTAGCACTAGAACCTGGCTCCCGTGCCTGCCAGGAAAATGGTTACTACTAAAGTCACACCTCAACCCTGTCTTGCTATGTGGACCAGCTGGCCTGGAACTCACCACGCTCCCGCCTCATCCTGCCAAACAGCTGGAATGACAGGCATGACCACCTATATTCCTCTTCTGGAACACTCCTATCCGTCCCTGTGCTTTATAAACTGTAGCCTGCCCTCTTTGCCTGACTTCCTGCAAGACCTGCCTCCCACCTCTACCCCTTTGCTCTGTGGGCCAGCACAGCATTAGGTCCAGGAGAAGGGGTGGTTCTGTGCGAAGATCATATCTGTGATCTTGGGATCCTAGCTATGGAAGTCACAGACAAGAAGATTGGAGACTGAGTACATCCCTCGGCAAAAACAAGAGACTACCTGAAAAATAAGGTAAAAAGGACTAGAGGTTAACAGGGTGCTGGTGGTACACGTCTGTAATCCTAGCTACTCTTACTCAAGAGGCTGAAATCTGAGGATCAGAGGCTGAAATGTGAGGATCATGGTTCAAAGCCAGCCCAGTCAGGAAAGTCTGTGAGGCTCCTACCTCCAATAAACTGCGCGCGCGCGCGCACACACACGCACGCACGCACACACACACACACACACAGAACTGGAGCTGTGGTAGAATGCTAGCAAAGCTTAGGAACAGGCCCCATATTCAAGCTCTGGGACTGGTATTCCTTATTCCCCCCCCCCCCGAAAAAGTCGGAGCTGGAGTGGCAGGGTGTCAACTGCTATGGGTAGGCACATGGAGTTTGAGGCCAGCCTGGGCTACATTATCTAGTCCCTGTCCCAACAAACCAGAAGAGAAAGAAAAGCTCCTTCTGGCTGCTGACCACCAGCCCGAGGGGGTGGAGCTAGGAGGAGGCCGGTCAGCTGGACAGGTGGACATTGGCTGCCAGGACTGGAAGACTAGAGGTAAAGTGAGCAGAATGGCAGGGGGGGAGAGGGGGAGAGGGAGCAGAATGGTTCCAGCCCACCCCAACAGCCTGCGGGGGGGGGGGAATTCTGACTCCCCCACTCTGGGATGAATGTGACTACCCAGGCTCCAGAGCACAGGATAGAACCCAGACAGTTCCAAAGGACACCATACCCTCAGCCTCTTTAGTGACTCTAAAGGGTCCAGTTTTGTTTTTTTTTTTGCTTATGTGGTGCTGAGGAATGGAACCCAGGGCCTCATGCATGCAAGGCAAGCGCTCTACCACTGAGCCAACTTCCCAGCCCTAAAGGGTCCAGTTTTAAGCATAAGACACACCAGCAATGCTGGACACTAGTGGCTCACGCCTATAATCTTTACCACTCAGGAGGCTGAGATCTGAGGACTGAGGTCTGACACTAGCTAGGGCAGGAAAAGTCTGTAAGACTCTTAACCACCAATTAACCACCAAAAAGCTGGGTGGAGCTGTGGCTCAAGTGGTAGAGCGCCGGCTTTGAGTGACAATGCTAAGGGATAGCACTTAGGCCCTAAGTTCAAGCTCCAATACTGACAGCCATACAAAGAAGACACACCAGCAAGCTGGACGAGAAGCCGCAGTGATCCCCACAGCCCTCCGTCGGCTGTGTCCCTGCCCCAGCACCCCATACTCGCCCACACAATGGGCCATTCAGTGGCATGAGCGAGCCCCCTCTGCCTGGCACTTTCCGTCCCATGCCCCCATGCCAGGAGCACACGCCCCACCCTCCTGGGCCCTCGAGGCCACCATCCTCACAAATGCACAGTAATGGCTCCTGACACTCCGAGCCCAGGCTTAGGAGGAAGGTGAGGGGCGTGTGCGTGCTGCGCCAGGCTCCTCAGCCAGCATCAGTGCCACCCAGCTCTGGGCGCAAGAGCAGCTTGGGGTTCGCCTCCCCAACTCCCATACCCACTCCCACGATGGCCTCTTTTCTCGCCTGCACCCCTTGGTCAGGTTCCAGCTGCTAATCCTCAAGCAACACAGGGGCCGTGTGTTCCTGGGCCCTGGATCAGGCAATGGCCTTCTGCCTTGGCCTGCCTGGCTCCTGGCTGGAAAGCCACCCAGAGACCCCTGTGCTAAGGCCGCGCAGGTGCTGTCTGTGGGGAAAGGGGTCGTGCTGGGAGGACAGATGAGCCTGCTGTGGCAGCCTGGGCAAGGCTCCTAACCTCTCTGAGCATGGGCCCTCCCTCAGAAGTGGCTCCTGTGTCTCTATAACGGCCAGCCATGCTCTCCTGGGCTCGGGGTCCAGCTCCTGGTCTGCGGCTGCTCTGCCTCCCCTCCCCCACCCAGCACACCACCGGGGTGATTTATGGTTCCTGTCTGCCTGGCGCAGGCTCTAGCCCAGAGCTCAGAGCCAGCATGGTTCTTCCGGGGAATCGGATCGGAGCCTGTGGGCCTCGCTCCGGTTAGTGGGTCGTGGCCAGGGCAAGGAGGAAGGGGCAGCAGACAGAACTGGCCCCTGGTCAGGCCTCAGGCGATGCCAGCACTCCATGGTGGGGAGAGCCATGCCCAGGGTGAGGTGCTTTGAACCACCATGGGTTCCGGAACATGAGGCCAACTGCCTCCAGCCTAGAGTCTGTGCTCTTCCTAAGCCCCAGGAAGCCCCTCAGGACCCCCAGAGCATGAGGGCCCATGGTAGGTGGTGCCCTGGTGGGATGGGGGGTTTGCTCTCAGGCCTCCCCGCTATGGGGAGGGGAAGGAAGGGAGGGCGTGCGGCCTCTTTGTTCTAAGTGCAGCAGAGGCTGCTGGTGCAAACAGGGGAGCAGGCTCTCCCGGAGATCAGGTGACCAGGGTCCCAGGGGGGGCCCAGGGCAGTGATGCATTGTGGGGCGGAGCAGTGGAGCAAGCGGGAGGCCAGCCCACCCTGCAGGGAGGAGGCCCGTCATGCCCTACAGGGAGATCCAGTCACCTCCGGCCCAGACCCACCAGCACCCAGCCTGGCTCACACTTCCCTGTGACTTCGGTCATTCTCCAGACTCCTAGAGTCCAAACTGATCTTCAGAATCGCCCGCCATTCCCGAGGTCCCCATACTCTTCCGGGGAGAGCCCAGAGAAGGGAGGAACTGAAAGAGCACTCAGGCTGGGGAAGCCAGCCAGGAAGAACCGGGGATGAGCTCTGATCCCCAGTCAACTATTAGGCCAACCTGCTCAAAGAGGTTCTGGTGCCAGTCTCCTGCACCATGCAAGGTCTCAGCAGAGCACACCAGAGGGTGGAGCTTTAGATCAGAGTGCAATGGCTCACACCAGAGGAAAGCCAGCATCAGGCAGAAGGTGGAGGCTCTGGGGGCTGCAGGATGGAACCCATGCCAGTCCTTCTGCCCTCCCTCTCCTGCAGCCCCGCCAGAAACCACAGCCCTTCTCCCAACCTCCTGCAGCCCAGAGGCAGCAGGCAGGAGGGCAGATCAACCATCAACCACTCCTCATTCTCCCCCTCCACCAGAGCAGGGGAGGGGAGCGGAGGGGGCTGGCTGGCACTAGTCTGTGCTGAATGGCGGCGCATGCCAGAGAGGCCCCAGGGCCAGGCAGGAAGCTGGGTCAGCAGTGGGGGAGGCATGGAGGTTCTGAACCACTGGGCCCAGTGGGGGTGGAGAGGGTTGGGGAGTTAAGACCCACCCACTCTGCCACAACAGTGAAGGTACCAAGGAAGGCGGTGTACACTGCAGTTCCAAGTGGGGTGCCGCAGGAGGCCACCCACGGGAGGGCAGAGGGCTCTACCTGTCTGTCCGTGCTGCAAGCCCAGCTCCTGGCACTGTGAGGCACCTGCAGATGCCCATAAATACTGGCTGTGAGAGCACGTGGATGGGAGGGTAACCAGGCAGCCGGACACAATGGGCCAGGTCTCCAGCTGATGGTGCCAGTTGAGTACCTAGTAAAAGCTGGGTGCTGGGTAGGAGCCCACCAAGGTCAGGAACGGCTGTCTGGCTCTGGCTGAGGGGCTAGGGGGACCTGCCACTGCGAGTCCGGGCTGGTAAGGCCTCCTCTGGCCTGAACTAGGGGCAGCATCTGAGGCTGAGACCAGGCGCCCAGCCTCCCTGCAGCCTAGGTGACAGACACTGCCAGGGAGAGGGCCTGGCCTGTCCACACTGCTCCTACAGCCAAGTTCTAGTTCCCAGCTCCATCAACACTGCGACAAAGAAGCAGAGACAGGAAGGACAGTGGAGCTTGGATCTGTCATCTCCACCCTGTGGCCCCCAGCCTGAGCTGGCTGTCAGGTTACCTGAGGCCTCCTTGCTGGGAATGTCCTCCCTCCAGATAGGTCAGAGGGTCACACACCATTTTTCAGCCCCTTTCTACAAGGACTAAGCACAGGTCACAGTGAGTGGAAGGCCTCTGTGTGAGTGATGGGAAAAGTAACGGAACAGGGCAAAAGGGAAGGGGTGGTGTGGCCACACCTGTAAGCCCAGCACCGGGGAGGCTGAGGTAAGGAGATGGGAATTCCAGCCCCATTGGGCTCCTAACAAAGGACTGTGGCTTCCAGCTGGGCCGTGTGTGTGCTCACAGAAGCTGGCTCTCTACCTCCCTCTCAGGACACTCACTCTGGGACACCAGAGCCACCAGGCTAAGGACATTCAGATAACTTATGCATGCAGCCTCCACAGTCTGAGGAAGGGCTCTTCTAGCCTCAGCCAACCCTTCAGATGAGTGGCCCAGTAGGTGGCCCACATTCTACAACCTCAGAGGTATGAACCAGATGCTCCCAGTTTACTGCAAATCTGTCCACAAACCCACAGCTTATTCTGTGTGTGTGTGTGTGTGTGTGTGTGTGTGTGTGTGCGTGTGTGTGTGTGTGTCTGTCTGTCTGTCTTGGTCTTGGGGCTTGAACTCAGGGCCTGGGCACTGTTCCTGAACTTTTGTGCTCAAGGCTGGGGCTCTACTATTTGAGCCACAGCCCCACTTTTGGATTTTCAGTAGTTCATTGGAGATAAGAATCTCAGGAACTTTCCCAGCTGGCTGGAACTCTGATCCTCAGATCTGTCTTTTCAGTAGCTAGGAGCCATGGGTGCCCGGCTTCCACAGCTGCTGTGTTAAGCAGCTGGGTTGGGGGCAATTTGTTTCGCAGGTACAGTAACCCACAGTAGACCCAGTGGCTTTGCTGCCAGGAAAGACGAACCCCAGGGTCCCTCGGGACAGGCGGCGCAAGGCAGCGGCTACTCACCTAACTCGGTGGGCTTCAGCAGCTCGTCCAGCATGTTGAAGAAGGGCAGCTTCACCAGGCGGACTTCTGGCTTGAGGGTCTTGGCAGGCAATCGTCCAAGTCCATTTAGATACTTTCCGTAGAGCACAGGGTAGTCAATATTGGGGCCCGACAGCGGAGTCCTGGGTACCGTGCCAGCCCGGTCGTAGGTGGAGTGCACGGTAAGAGGGTCCAGGGGCCGGTGGGGCTGTGGGCCAGGCTCCACGTTCTTCTTGGCATAGCGTGTCTCGTAGAGTTCCTTGATCTTCTTGAACAGCTCCGGGCTGCAGTCGAACTGCACCAGCTGCAGGGCCCTGGTGACCAGCTCGTGCTTCAGGCCACTCTTGCTGCGGCCCACGAATCCCAGCAACATCTGGAGGTCGGACACGCGGAAGCTCATCACCATGTTCTGAGGGAAGCAAGCACACACAGCGCTCAGGGAATTGCATAGCACTCGGGCACACGGAAGCTCATCACCATGTTCTGAGGGAAGCAAGCACGCACATGAGTGCGCACGCACACACACACAGCACTCAGGGAAATGCATAGCACTTGGGCACATGGGAGCTCATCACCATGTTCTGAGGGAAGCAAGCACGCATATGCGTGCGCACGCACACACACACACGCACACACACAGCACTCAGGGAAATGCATAGCACTCGGACACACGAAAGCTCAACACCATGTTCTGAGGGAAGCAAGCACGCACATGAGTGCGCACGCACACACACACAGCACTCAGGGAAATGCATAGCACTTGGGCACATGGAAGCTCAACACCATGTTCTGAGGGAAGTGCACGCACGCACACGCACACGCACACACACACACACACACACACACACACAGCATTCAGGGAAATGCATAACACTGGGACATGCGGAAGCTCATCACCATGTTCTGAGGGAAGCAAGCACACGCAGCGCTCCGATGGCCTGTTGGGGGGTGTCTGGCTGACCCAGGGTGTCCGAGAGAGAGCTGTTCCAAACCATCCTGTCCACCACCAGGAAGCCTGCCCCCCTCCAACTTTCCATGCGGCAGGAGCTCCTCCCACTGCCCCGCCCCCCACATCTATTTTAGGTTCTTCTTTTTTTTTTTCATCATCTTTGCACCTGAAAGCATCACCAGGGCAGGAACTGGCAATCTTCCCCATAAACTGGCTCTTCCCTGGGCTGGGAAGGTGGCTCAGTGGTAGAGCGCTTGCCTTGCATGAGGCCCTGGGTTCGATTCCTCAGCACCACATAAGCAAAAAGAAAAAAGCTGGAAGTGGCGCTGTGGCTCAAATGGTAGAGCACTCGCCTTGAGCTGAAGAGCTGAGGGACAGCGCCCAGGCCCAGAATTCAAGCCCACAACTGGACCCCCCAAAAAAACCCAAAAAACAAAAAACTGGCTCTTCCCAATAAATACCGGTGTGGGCTGACAGCTTCCCTGATCCCCATCCTTTCCTCAGAGCGGGAAGCTGGGGGGGCCCTGGCAAAGCCATTGCTCTAGCCACAAACACACGTAACCACGGCCATGCTGGACCTTACACTAGTCACCTGCTGGAAACTGAGTCTGAAACTTCACTCTCCAGACGACTCCCAATACACCCCATTCCCATAGGCATCTGCTCAGATGGGCACCATCTGGCTCAGGCAGGGGCTTGCCCCTGGGCACCCTGGACATGGCTGGCTTGCCTCTGGGGACATTCTGAGCACTTCCGGGTTCCTAGCAGCATCCCTGGCCTCCACCTTATTCCATCCTGGAGCTTCCCCAGTGGTGACAGACATGTCCCCAGATACAGCCCAGTGTCCCCAGGGGCAGCATGGATCACAGTTGAGAAGAGCTGGTCTCACAGGCTAATTAATCGCTGAGCTAGTGGCAAAGTGACGGGTGACACTCAGCAGGACCTGCCAGCTACGCCAAGGCAAACCAGAGCTCAGCAGACACTCATGTGCGACCTGGGCTCTGCGGTAGGAGCTGCACGTCCGTGTAAAGGTGGGCCTGTACTCCATCAGGCAGGCAGGTGAGGAAACTGAGGATGGGAGGGAGAAGAGGCAGGGCTGGGGTCTGGGCCTGTGGCCAGCCACTGCACTCCTAAAGAATTTATTTAGGGGCTGGGAAGGTGGCTCAGTGGTAGAGCGCTTGCCTTGCATGCTTGAGGCCCTTGGTTCGATTTCTCAGCACCACATCAGCAAAAATAAAAAAGCCGGAAGTGGCGCTGTGGCTCAAGTGGTAGAGCGCTAGCCTTGAACTGAAAAGCTGAGGGACAGCGCCTAGTCCCAGAGTTCAAGCCCCACAACCAGACCAAAAAAAAAAAAAGAATTTATTTTTTTATTTTTATTTTTGCCAGTCCTGGGCCTTGAGTCAGGGCCTGGGCACTGTCCCTAAGCTTCTTTTGCTCAAGGCTAGCACTCTACCACTTGCACCAACGCACCACTTTTAGCTTTTTCTGTGTATGTGGTACTGAAGAATAGAACCCAGGGCTTCATGCATGCTAGGCAAGCACTCTACCAATAAGCCCACTAAGCCATATTCCCAGCCCAGAAATTTTCTTACACACACACTGCACAGGGAAGAGCAGATTGGCGGGGGGCGGGGTGGGGGAGCACTGGGTCACCACACCTGCTGAGGAGCTTACCAATGGCTCTCAGAGAGCCAGCCATGCTTTAAACACAAAGATGCTCTGCTCCCTTGGCCTGACTTCCTACCTTGTACAGAAAGAAACAGCTTGTGGACAAGATGTTCCTTCTGGAAGTGGCTCAAGCCTTTTAGGAGGGATAGGTGTGTGGTCAGCTGGGAGCTGACCAGGATGCACCAGCAAGAGCAGGGAATTCACAGCCCTTCCAACATCCTCAGCTCCAGATCCCCTGCTAGTTAGCCCAGGGCCTGAAAGCCAGCCACTCCAACATCAGACTGGGCACCACAGAGCATAGCCCTCTTGCCTGACCATATGTTCCCGACTCACATTTCCCCACAGCTGCCACTCCTGAGCCCGTCCTGGACACTGGGGCATGAGGGGTAACAGACAGACATCCAAGAAGCCTCAGATGCAGTGAAGAGCACTTCCTGTTCTGTCCATCCAGACCTGCCTGCCTTTGGGCTGTTTGTAAACAGGGCGGGGGGGGGGGAGCAGCAGGAGGCTGACACAGCTCCTCCACCATCCCGGATGACTGCACCCTCAAACCTGCCTCAGCATCGGTTTCGTATGCCTGTGTACCAATCCTACATGTTCTCCATCAGGACCCTGTGCACACTGAAAGGCAAACTCTTGGGCATTTATCCCACAGGGCAGGGAGAGCTACTGAAGAAAGAGGGGACATTTCAACTACAGTTAAGGCAGAGACCAGAGCAAGAGACTCCAGGGGATAGAAGGTCCCTATTCTTCGCAGTTCAGAAAACTTGAAAGGTCAACGTGACTTAATGGGGGTGGGGGGATTGCCACCATAGGTCATGCAGAGGACATCAGATCAAATTTCAAGGCAGCCCCTACCCTCTGCAGGGAGGGTCCAGAGGTGCAGCCCCACATGCTACAGGAGGCCACCTTTCAAGGCTCCAGGGGACTCCAAGCAGAGGCTAAGCCTCTGGGATGCAGAGTGCAGATGTCTGCCTCTCCATAATCCTGGGGAGGGGCAGATGTGTATGTGGTGCAGGTTTTGGGGAAGAGTTCTGGGGAAAGGTGGGTCTACCCTATAATCACATCCTAGAAGCTGTCTTCTAGATTGCAGGGGGGAGAAGAGTGAAGTAAGGGGAGAGGAAGGAGTGAGGAGCAAACACCAGCAGGTGAGGAACTGGGGAGGGGAGAGCAGAAAGAGGTCGAGGTCCCCCAGCTCTTAGGAGTAGCTGTCTGGGGGAGGGGTACTTCTGAAAGGAGGTCAGCTGTAAGAACACTGGACCCTCACCTGGGAAACAGACAAGCTTTCAGCAAGAGGGTTAATGGGGCCAAATCCTGGAGAGGGAAAAAAGTCTTGAAACCAAGACCCAGGAACAGAATAGGGGAGCAGCAGTGGAGGCCCACCTTAAACAGAGCCTATTAGGGACCCTCCAAGGATCAATATGGAAGACAAGGCAGAAAAAGAGGGGGACTAGAAGCCAGAAGTGGGTGCATAGGGTCCTGGGGGCTCAGTAGAAAGGAAGCCGACCCCACACGTAGACTCATCAGGAAGCAGTTTGGAGATTAAGGAGTAGAGAGAATCCCGTTTAAGAGTGGTGTGGAGAGCTCCCCCCCCCCAAAGTGAGAGATGGGACACGGAAAACGGGGAGGGAGGGGAGGCAGGAGGGAGGTGAAAGGTGGAGGGCCAACATCCAAAACTGAACG